CCCGCAAAGCAGTTTTAGGGCTGCCATAAAAAACGAAAAAGGCAGGGTTGCCACAGTTGGCGATAAATCGCCCGTTGGCGACAAAATTGGCGATATGCCATGGACGGATGGAGAACCTTCCTGAACGAATTCTTACTGGTTTACCCCAGAATGTTCTCGAACACAAGCCGAAAGAAACCCTGCTGGTCCGCAGTCAGTCAGTGTGCTTCATCGAGAGGGCGAGTGAGTGTGCCTCGTCTAGTCAGTATCGAGTTGGTGTCTCGTCTAGCGAGTCAATCCCTGCGGAGTCGATCGAGTTGACAGCCGGGCAGCGAGTGCCGAGTGGGTCGTCGAGTTCACCGAAGGAGTCTCTTAGTGTATCGCAGTTTGTGCATGTCGAGAGAGCGTGTTGAGCTCCGGGAACGACTGAACCGTAGAGTCGGGAGCCGTGCTCGTGTGTCGTCGAGTGCATCGCGAGTTGTAGCGTGGAGAGTCTCGAGAGTACGTAGAGTTCCGAGAACGACCAAGCAGGTTCGGGAGCTGTACTCTGGTGCTTTTCAGGAAGCTGTCTCCACCGTTATTGCCTGACAGTGTGAAGGCTGTGTCGCTGATTGTTCCAGCGTGTTTGTAGTAGATCTTCGACGACTGTAAAAAGTGTTGTTGGAGCTGTCCTGATTAATATTGGCTAAATAAAGTGTGTTTCGATACTTCATCAAGTGTCGTCGTTATTCACTCCAAATCTACAAACCCCGTACGAACGTGAAGGAAGAAAATAACGCAACAACTGGTGTCAGAAAAGAAAAACGTAACAACATACTAAGGCTGTTCGCACATTTTTTAGACAATTTTCACTGTGTTTATAGAAATATTTTACCTAATCGTTTTGTGTTTTAAGTGTTCCATTTGATAACCTTATTCTTGACAACCTTTCTACACCGTAATTTTCAGACAAAAAAGGCCTTTTTTTAGCAGCGGAAGAGGTATTTTATCCCATTTTTTTTTTTTTTTTTCTTTTTTTTTTTTTTTTTTTTTTCTTTTTTTTTTTTTTTTTTTTTTTTTTTTTGTTTTTTTTTTTTTTTTTTTTTTTTTTTTTTTTTTTTTTTTTCTTTTTTTTTTTTTTTTTTTTTCCTTTTGAACAACTTTCCAAAATCCAAGGAAGGTTGTAGCTCGACGTCCGGACGATCCGCTTTTTAAAAGTTGAAAAGCGCAAAAATCCGTGGATAATACATAAGCCCATTTGGTAAGGATATGGTTTTGATACTTGTTTCTTGTTCCATATTTTCCCAGGAAATTAACAATGGATTCTGACGTGTGACTGCTTTCTCTGTCTTGATGCAGTTCTATTGACTGATCGCACTGTGGGTAGAGAGAAGTTATTTCATATTTGAAAATTGGGTATAAAATATGTTCTTGATAATATCTGGAGTTGATCTTAATAGTTTCCCACACTCTCTTTAATTTTTATTTGTTGTTATATGAAAAACCAGAAATAACCATAAATCCCTTTGAAAAACTTTATTTACATCCTTTGAACCATGATGTAAGTTTCTTAAATGGATATTGTTGTAATTTAAATATTCCCAAGATTCATACATCGTGACAACATTTTCCCATTTTTGTTCAAATAATTGTTTCTCTTAGAGAATTCTGCAACGCGTTTTGCTTTCAGAGATATATCGTGGAGAAAGACAATGCACATTACGTTTTTTTCGCATTTTTAAGATTCAAATCAGCACTAAGCACTTTGTTTACAGCTGACACTGAACATTTTAAGGATTATGCAACTGTTCTTTGATTTCGAAGAGTTTCTTTTGAAATTAAAGTTCTTACCTTTGCAACATTCGAAATATTCCAATTTTTTTTTCTTGGATGTGTATTTTAAACAATTTTTTTCCTTGAAGCCAATATTTGACTTTTTAAAATTTCCTATTGATATATTATCTATCGTTGCATTAGATATCAAAAAGTCATGGCTTTCACAGCATTTTTAATAACTAATTACGAATATTTTTCTTTGAAAAGAGCACAGACATAGACTTCCGTCTACTGCTTCTTTAAAAGGAGCCATTTTGCATGAAAACAAAATTGTCAAATAGCAAATGGTAATTTGCACTTTCAAAACATATTTCTTATTAGCCTGGAAAAAGGCTGGCATCTGCGCTGTGTTCAACAGTGCAGAAAAGCCTAACTTGTACAAATAGGTATTTGAGTGCTAACTTTCACTGTTTTTCTGTTATCTTCGCAAAAATTAAATCTCAAGAGCTTGTAGCTTAGATTTCAGTTAAATTCTTTGTCTTCAAATTTCAAAAGTTTTTTTTTAACTAGTTTGGCGCTGGATTCTAAGAACACATAAAGGACTGTCTACTCAGACCTCACTCGATAATAGTGATGAAGAGAAAATATTGTAAAGAATAGAAGACGATATAAAATAAAGAGTTCATCGATCGTCGTCTGAACATTTTTGTTTTAAATTTTTCTTACATGTTCTCATTTAGGTAATTTAAATGGCGAAAAATATCAATCAACTAAGTTCGTTTGCAACATTTTTCTATTTGATACTCAAATAATACACACCATTTTACTGGGCTACAAATGTCGTAGATTTTTTATGCAGAAGAACTTTTAAATCAACAAATCACTTTTGACTTTGTAAGGTATTTCTGCCGCCTTCTTAGCGTGCCTTTGAGGTGTAGTGGTCTGCACGCTGGGAGCGTATTTCAGTGGTCCCCGGTTCGATTCCCGGCGAAGGCGTTGTTCATTTTTCATCTTGCCTGCTTCCGAAAAAATCCTAATGTCTCATCGATGCTTCATCGATTTATCGATAAACTTCATCGATTTTTTTTAACGAGACTGAACTGAAACTGAAAGTTGTAGGGGCTATATGTGGTAAATAATCCGTGCTAAACATTGTTTGCCAATCAAGAGCCGATTAAACTAGTCCAAAGTTCTAGGTATAGGGTTCTACCGAGATGCCCTCACAAACCGCTTTTCTTCTTTCGTGAAAGAACAGGATTCTGATAAACTGCAAAGTGATTTTGTGGTTTCTTAACCCCTTAACCTGCGATTTAGATTCGAAGATGTTGGGCCGAAATTGTATACAAGCTCGCGCAGCGTTCGGGACATTTGCACGACTTGTGTAACACGCTAATACGGGCAATCATAAACATGACGAATTATGCAATTTTCGAAGAAAGTATAGGCGAATAATTGTTGATGATACATCCGATGACGATCAACTACCAGAGTCCTGGCTTTAAAAAGAAATAAGAAATAGTCCAAAAATCTGGGACTATACGATGACTCTTGGCATAAGAGAGGAAGTCTTATGTCAATTACGAGGAAGTAGAGTAGAATTTGATATATTTAATCTAATACTTGATGACATATTTTGGAAAAATAGTGTAACCGAAACGAATCAGTATGCAGATAAAGTACGAGAAAATCCACATAGAACACGAGTGTAAAAAGTGTAAAGTTCCGTTACATGTACCAGAAATGCTTTGAAATATATCATACCATTACAGATTATTAATTTTGTATTTTGGAGTTTTGTATAAATAAACATTTTGTAATACTTGCGTCTACCACAATTATTGCATCAGACTGTAATTGCGTATCAAATATTCCACGTAATATTCATTTCTGACTCGATCACCGTACGCGGGCTATGCCCGTGAAAGTTAGGTTTGGCCCGACCATCGTACGCCGGCTATGCCCGTGAAAGTTAGGTTTGGCCCGACCATCGTATGCCGGCTATACCCGTGAAAGTTAGGTTTGGCCCGACCATCGTACGCCGGCTATGCCCGTGAAAGTTAGGTTTGGCCCGACCATCGTACGCCGGCTACGACCGTGAAAGTTAGGTTTGGCCCGACCATCGTACGCCGGCTACGACCGTGAAAGTTAGGTTTGGCCCGACCATCGTACGCCGGCTATGCCCGTGAAAGTTAGGTTTGGCCCGACCATCGTACGCCGGCTATGCCCGTGAAAGTTAGGTTTGGCCCGACCATCGTACGCCGGCTATGCCCGTGAAAGTTAGGTTTGGCCCGACCATCGTACGCCGGCTATGCCCGTGAAAGTTAGGTTTGGCCCGACCATCGTACGCCGGCTATGCCCGTGAAAGTTAGGTTTGGCCCGACATCGTACGCCCTATGCCCTGAAAGTTAGGTTTGGCCCGACCACCGTACGCCGGCTACGACCGTGAAAGTTAGGTTTGGCCCGACCATCGTACGCCGGCTATGCCCGTGAAAGTTAGGTTTGGCCCGACCATCGTACGCCGGCTATGCCCGTGAAAGTTAGGTTTGGCCCGACCATCGTACGCCGGCTATGTCGTGAAAGTTAGGTTTGGCCCGACCATCGTACGCGGGCTATGCCCGTCATTGTAGATTAAGGGGTTAATAGCAAGGGCTCTAGCCCGCAACTTTTAACTTTAGACAGTAATCATGCCCTGCTGTCAATAGGGAGTTAGGACTTTTTATAAATTTTTGATAGCAATAAATCTTTTTAAACATTCTGAATGGATCCATATAAGGGTTTACTTGGAGACATATACAGTAGAACTGAAAACGTATGGATTAACTGAGATCTCATTGCAGAGAGCCCAAACCTTCTAAAAGCGAGGTTACGTGTTATATTTCATTGTACTCTATATTTTAACTATATCTTAACAATGTATTCCAGATTTGTGCAAAAGCATTATTTTATTTGTCGATACGAAAAGATGAATAGAAAGTATCTGATTGCAAGTTATGCTATGCTTCGTCAGCAGAAAATTCTTTATTTGGAGAGAGAACTGACATAATGTAACCATGTGATTTTTCTTTGCTAAATGAATCAGAATTATGCTTAATTTTACTTCACATAGATAGAACAATAAGTAATGAAAATAACCTAAGCTTTTACATTTGTTTTATTTGTTTTAATTATTACTGTGTAGAAATTCAAAAATATTTTAAACGAATGCATATGTTTCAGTACGCAAATAGAAGTAACAAAGTCAATGAGGGAATTAAAGAACAACATACCTCGCAATTCGGCTTGCAGCTGCCGTAAGCGACTTCGAACTTTCTTTCTTTCATCGAAATCTTCTGTAGCATCGAGCTGCGTGGAGGAAAAACAAATCAAACAGTTAAAAGTATTTAATCGCAAGAATAAAAAAATTTAATTTCAGTTGCATCAAATAATGTTCTAACAGAATTTCTTTTTAATCATTGTTTATTGATAAATTCACATTTATTCCTTTCGAACACTTCTATTGCACATAGTAGTTACTAACCGGAAAAGAAAAACTTTCTAATCCTGGATGGAAAGCTGCCTGGGAACCAACCGGATTCATATTTTCCTAAACGAGATTCAAAAGTTAGATAAGGTCTGCGTTCATCAATGGCTGTTAGCGCAGGACAGGTAACGAGAACTCAGATAAACTGGCAAGAGGCTTGAAATCTCAACAGTAATAATAACGCAAATGTCAAATTCTCAGAAGCAAATGCCATGTCCAACTACAGATTGAAGGAGCATTTAATTCCAATAAAGCACCAGCTCTATAATATCAGTGGATATAAATTTATAATTAAAACCATCGTCAGGCTTAGAACTGACCATCACAGAGGTTTGAAAATTGACAGATAAGGTAGAAAAACCTACAGAAACTGTGATAACTGCTCGAACAACAGAACTGACAACTGCACATACACTGGTGTGCAAAAATTAAGGACGAGACGGTTTTTTTTCAATATAACTTTGTACAAAAGCTTTCCAAATCAACACATTTAATACCGTAAGATCCCCAATACGTAAGGACATGAGTAATGTAAGCAACACTTACTAAAAGAGAAATCAGAGGGATAAAAAGAAGCTTTATTGAAAAAGTAGCATGGAGCGCAATGCGACTGAAGGCCGAAACATCCCTGTGATGGGTGTCCAGCAAGAAACATCCGGTCTTTAATAGGGGATATGATCTCCCCTGACTGCTAGGCAGGTTTCACAGCGTCTGCCCATGCTGAGAATGAGGGTGTCAATGAGTTGTTGAGGCATTGCTGCCCATTCGTCTTGCAGCGCCAATCGAAGCTCCGGAATCGTTACTGGTGGTAAAGTACGAGCTGCCAAGCGTCTGCCTAGAAAATCCCATACATGCTCGATGGGATTGAGATCCGGAGATCGTGCCGGCCAATCCATACGTTCAATATCCTCACTCTCTAAGAGCTGTTCGGCAGCTACTGTGCGATGACATGGTGCATTGTCGTCCATGAAAAGGAACTGCGGACCCATAGCGCCTCTAAAAAGACGCACATATGGAAGAAGAATCTCGTTACAATAACGGGTCCCGTTGACTGAACCTGCGTCGAAGATGTGAAGGTCTGTACGACTACCAAGCATGATGCCTCCCCAAACGAGAACACCGCCACCTCCATACCTGTCCCTTTCAATGATGTTCGAGGGATGATTGCGGCTTCCCCGCTCTCTCCAGATGAGTATGCGATGAGAATCGCTACTCAGACTGAATCTGCTCTCATCTGTAAAGAGTACTCGTCCCCATTCATTGTCTCTCCAATTCCGGTGTTCCCGGCACCACAGAGAACGCCTTCTCCGATGGGCAGGCGTTAGAGGTACACACCGTACAGGGCGTCGTGCAAACAGACCACCACCGTGCAGTCTTCTGGCCACGGTAAAACGCGATATCGGTCGTCCAGTCGCCTGTGTCGTGTGTCTAGCGATTTCTCCCGCTGTCTGCCGCCTGTTTCTTCTGGCCTGTAAGGCAATATACCGGTCATCTGCGGGTGTGGTTCCTCGTGGACGACCACTACTAAACCCCCGGATAGCTGTTCCTGTAGTTTGAAATTGTCTCCAAAGTCGTGAAACGATGCTGTGAGCAATTCCGAACTCTGCAGCCACACTTGTCACACTGCGGCCTTCCTCCAACTTCCCAATGATTCGACCTCGGGTAAAAGCATCCAGATGTCGTCTAACAGATTGATTATTCGCCATTTCTCGCTGAGGCAGCAACTCGGTGTGATTTTAACTGCTATACGGCGTGCAATCTCTTTGCCAGAAATACTGATCTTACACCGACAACATGCTTTATACTACTCAGACACTCCCCCATTACGTCTACCTGCATATCTGCGCATGTGATACCGTACATCACCTTACTTAATCTCCCCATTGGTCTTTCTGTCCGCTCTGCCTCTTCGTTCAGCTGATATGCTAATTTTTCGACTTCGTCCTTAATTTTTGCACACCAGTGTATTTTTGATTCTCCGGCCCTCCTTGCTGAATTGTTAAAAATGGGGTCTTGGGTAAGACGGACCCTCTACCACGATAACATTTTGCAGATTGCCACAGGGCTGTCACTTTTTTCCATGGCTATACTTTAAAAGGCTTCATCACAGACATTACAACAAAACATGTCATAGAGATGACATCATAGACATGACAATGTACTGCACAAGTGTACAAATAAGCATTACACCTATATTTCGTAGCTTAAAACTGCATATTGCCTTTCTTGTTTCGAAGGAAATGCTTTTAAATGATTGTTTAAAAATGAGTACTACATTTTGGAAATGCTTTTAAATGATTGTTTAAAAATGAGTACTACATTTTGGAAATGCTTTTAAATGATTGTTTAAAAATGAGTACTACATTTTGTAAATGCTTTTAAATGATTGTTTAAAAATGAGTACTACATTTTTTGCTTCAGAATTTATCTAGTTAGAGGTTCGAAAGGAAAGCCTATCAGGACTTGTATTCCTCTTGACTTGCTTTGGAAACATGAATGTCCTGACTCGGAACAGGGAGCTTACTCAAGCTACGTTCAAGAAATTGTGAAGTAGACAATACAAGCAGGAAGGGTATACAAAACCCTTTATTTTTCTATCTTTACAGGTATTTCCGGAACTTCGGAATACAGAGACCAACAACTTGTGGTCTGAACGTAAGAATATAAAAACTACTAACTAAAACTCTAATTAAAACTGACTTTGAATTAGTATACAAGTGCCTAGCTTTAAGATTGGCCGTTATTTAACAAAGGCCGGGAACACCGGAACGTATGTAGTACGCCGAGCTGCTAAAACTACGATACGTTGGCAATTATCAAGAGGACTAAACCTCTGGCCTTGAAGGCAACCAGCAACTGGGTGAAAACTCGTAAAACTACAATGGCAAGCGGCTTGCTTCCAATAACTTTTTCCTCTCTTTTGCTTGGCAAAAAGGCCACAACTTAAGTACTTGGCGTTAGCAAGACAATTTGCATAAATAAGTTAAAGGCGTTTAATTCTGGCCGGAAGTAGAAAATAAGAAGTGAAAGTAAAGATTTAAAATAAAATAAACGTTAGTAAAACTTAGGATCTTTACAAAGTTACGTATTAAAATGCCATATATTTACGTTATATTATGCATCGAAAATAGTGTGCAATATCAGAGACTACTTTTTCAAAGTGGTGCTGGTTTGCAAATCGAGGATTCACTAAACTACTATATCAGTCGCCAATGAGAGTACAAGACATCTGTCCAGTGTTTGTATTTTTGAAGAAAGACATTACAAACAATAAAATGTTTACTCCTTTATTCAAAATGACAATTTTTAATTTATCATCAAGTGAAAATGAAAGGTTAGGTTAAATCTTACGTCGGGCGATAAAATATAAACGAGCCTCTATTGCCTGAGCGTCGCGATGGGTACTTGTATGTATTTGGGCAGTTGAAGACGTTAAATGGCCTACAGTAAGGTCTTATCTTAACGTCTCCTCTCTCCTCTACTCTTCCTCACGTTCATTACTCTCATCTTTTCTCTTCCCTTTTTCAAATCCCTTCTTTTCCTTCTCTCTCTCTCTCTCTCTGTTTCTCTCTTATATTTGTTTATGGTTATATTAAAACACCCGGCGATCATACGAAATGACCGCTGTTTTAGATATTATAAATTGTAATTAAAGTGATTTGTGCTAATTTAAACTGAATTACCCAGGACAGGGGGCGAGGCCGCCCCTTTGCTTACTGCCCCGCGGGGTTTACCCCTTCTACTTGCTTAATTGCTTAAAGTAGAGTGAAATGAAGGAAACCACTAGCGGTACATTTCTTAAAAGCCACCGCTAGCTCAATCAATAAAGGGGATTTAAATAATAAAATGTTAATTCACATGTTAAAGATCTCTTTGTACACAACATTTCTCGTGTAGATCTTTCCATCATTTTTAAGCTCGCCTTGCAGAGGACCATACATTATTTTTAATTTTACGTCCGTTCTTTCACGAACTCTTGAACAGGCAACATAAAGTTGACCGTGTTCAAATGCAGGCTCAGGTAAGCCAACACGCTTAAGCGTTTGGCCCTGAGACTTATGGATGGCCATAGCAAAGGCAAGTTTTACAGGAAATTATCTACGTCTCAATTGAAACGGCAACCTTGTGCCGTGGCAACTTCAACCCATTGGCTAGTACAGTACGCAAGCAACCAATAAACTATCGGAGACAAACAGACACTTAAGCCGCATATATATATGGGGTGAAGTAACATTATCTCCTCCGAAACAGCTGACTTCCGGGCTTAGCGAAGCACACCATTGGATTCCGCAGGTCCGTGGCACGCCATTTTCACCATTCGCGTCTCCTTGGGACTTTAATTAGCCGAGATATTAATTAAAAACTGATTTCCCCCTACGTTTTCCTTACATTCTCCACTTTCTTTCTTGGGTTTTCCCTATTAGAGGGATGTGGCTACGCGCCAAATTCTTTTTTCTCGAATATCTACGGAACGGCGCCGAATTGAAATTCGAGGCGCGTATCCTCCGAATTCATCGATACCGTTCTCATCTTCGTATGACTTTAATCGGCCGAGATATTAACTAAAAACTGCAGAAACGTTAATTTCCGCGCTCATTTTTCCGAGTGGCAATAATAAACTATCGGCGACATACACTTTATCCGCTTATATATTATTGTTTGTAATAAAGATGTATTATGTACAATCACAAAATTATGTAATTCTATCACCTATGTAAAGTTGAAACAGCCTCTGTACAACCAGTGCAGGATTTACGTATAAGCTACACAATCTATAGCTCCCCACTTTCTTGGGGCCCCCGAAAAAATTTAAATGTAGTATAAATATAGTATTAAAATATAGTATAACAGACATAAAGGGCTCTGTATCTCAAATAGCTTAGGACCTTATCAAGTCTAAATCCGGCTCTGTGTACAACACTGTAACCTCTCTGTTTTAAATCATAATAAACTCCCGGTGCAACCTCTAGGGGCTCCAGGGAGTTGTCGCTTCTAGATAGGCGAGGACGCGGGACACATGCCTGTTTACCTATGTTAGACACCAGGCATCCTCGTCCTCGGTCATCTATCATCTGCCTAGAGTAAGGGAAGCACACCATCCGGCTTATCCCGTGCTTTATTTAATAGCCCTTATGATGAGTTCGAGGAATTTGCCCGTCTCTATTCAGCGAAGCACAATCATAAAGTTCCTTATCCATGAAAACGTGAAACCAGCCAAAGTTTACCGCAGACCGCATGCCCAGTTCGGGGAAGAAACCCACCCATCCATGGTCAAAAGTGAAAATTTGATGCAAACAAGACAGTGAACATGTTGCCAATGGAGGTCATTCCCGTCCTACTCGCTTCAGTGTGACTAATGAAAACACTCTACGTGTTCGGGAGCTTATCGAACGGGATCGATGCTGCACAGTGCTTCAAATTTCAGAAGAATTTGGTGTCAGCTTTGGAAGTATCCAATCAATCATCAGGAAGCAGTAAAAAATCTCAGCGCGTTCGGTTCCAAAGTTACTGAATGACAATCAAAAAGCAGAACGAGTTCGCATTTCTCAGTTGCTTCAAGCACGTTTTGAAGAAGAAGACTAAGCTTTTTTTTTTTTTTTTTTTTTTTTTTTTGCATAAAACTGTTACCTTTCACGAGATGTGGGTGCATCATTACACCCCCTCCCCACATCAAAACCTGCACACATACAGCGAAGAGGGAAAAGCGAAGGAACCTCATGAAAGCTAAAACCCGATTGTTCTATGGGGAAAGTGTTGGCCACGTTCTTTTGGGACTGGATCCTACTGCTGGATGTTTTACACGAACGTCAGACCATCAGTGCAACTTCAGCTTAATGGTCTGCATACCTCAGCATACAGCAGCCTAACAGCACTCTTTGCACACATGAGTATTCATGAACTCATCATTCATCATTCAAGATGTACCTGTATTTATACACAACAGAACTGCCTTACACTAACATTGTGCTCCAGCTTTCATGTGACTTCATGTACTCCATTTGTCTTTTTGTGCCTTAAGTGACTATGTTTATGTACCTGTTCTTTTTGTGTGTGTGTGTGCTCTCTGTTTATGCATTTTACGCATTGTGCTTTGTCTATTGTTGCCTATGCATTTTTATGTCTTTTTATGCGTACTTCTTATTTTCCAAGTATTTTTAGTTTAACTACCTACTATCTGTAACACTACAGCTTGCCTCTTCAATCTGTAATACAGTCCTACTAATGCCCCTTGTAAGGCCATGTATTTCCCTTTGACAACCTCAATAATCTCCTGGTGCAGCCTAGTGTGGCTCCAGGAGGCTTTTACCGTAGTTAGAGGAGGGCGTGGAACGCATGCCTGTTTACCTCTGTTAAGACACCAGGCGTTCCAGTCCTCCGTAACCTACCTACCTACCTACCTACCTCAGCATACATAGCTTTAACTAGACTTAACTGAAATAGAACTAACCATAACTAGAATAGAACCAAATCTTCATCCGCGTTCAAGATAATATTACCTACGAGGGAAGTACAGCTATAAGCGGGTGGGACAGCAGAATTTCACCATAGAATGTATAGGTATGGTTCCACTGCATAAAGTATGCAGCTCCGCCCAATTTTGAGAGAGAACAATACGGGAGCGGTACTAGTGTCTCCTACCTCTTTTTCTCTACTATCAACCATTTGAGGAGACTACCGGCTTGCCATGTACTACATTCATGCCATCTTCGAGATTCGCTAATTGCCGTAATAACCAATTGCCAATAATACGAATTCCGGCCCATTGGTATGGCAATCAGCGTCACTAATCATTATATGCTCTGGGCGGTTAGGTATCTACAAAGCAGATGGACGACTATGTTAATGGCGAAATGGAAGACGATGTGTAACATCCGTACTTGTTTGTTGCAGACAGAGACTTCCGAGAACTTCTGGAAAATTCCTATTTGGATAATGATATTGCAAAGTTTGATTAACATATAGGAAATAAATAAATAAAATATTTTTCAGTGAATTTCAATTATTAATATGATTTAACTATTCGTTTTTGTGTTCGAATTACTTGTAAATCCTTTTGCGCAAACACGCAAGCTAATTTTCTATATCATGGCTTTCAGGATGGTACAAAACTTTATTCCATGCCCGTTTTGGCGAATTCACATGAAAGCTAAAATACCCCTTTCTTGAAAACACGCAATAATTTCATTTTCACTCGATGATAAATTAAAAATTGTCATTTTGAATAAAGGAGTAAACATTTTATTCTTTGTAATGTCTTTCTTCCAAAATACAAACACTGGACCGATGTCTTGTACATTGGTGACTGATATAGTAGTTTAATGAATCCTAGATTTGCAAACCAGTGCCACTTTGAAAAAGTAGTCTCTGGTATTCTACACTATTTTCGATGCATAATATAACGTAAATATATGGCCTTTTAATACGCAACTGAGAAAATAGTTAATAGGTCGCTGTGCGAAATGCTTTAGAATTATTTTCATCAGCTACATCTATGACACCGAAACAAATTAGACGTTCTGTGTAAGCGATTTTGCCCGAGGATTCAGATTTGTAAATAGGGCTCTGTGTACAGCCACATTTTACGAAGATCCTGTGTACAGAACTCTTACTGTTTCTTAAAAGAATTACCAACAGCTTGCTGAATGCAACAGAAAATGTTTTTTTTTAAATATTTTTTAAATGATAAATATATTATATAGTGAACATATTAAAGCCCTCGTGCACATCACAGAAGAACGGAAATCTAAAATTTGAAAATCATAAATATTTTTTTGCTAGTTTAATAACAGATATACGGGTCAAAATCTTTCAAAATGTTAAACGTATTTCTCTGAAATTGTCAATCACTTATAACTGAATTTTGATTAAATTTTAAATCCAATCACTTACCAATTTATATAGTGATTCTTCAGTAGTAAGAGAATCCAAAGAAACACCGTTCACTACTTCACCCATGGTTCTGTAGAATTTTCACGCACCTAGAAAGACAAAAGCAATTGTTATCGCAAAATGTTGTTGCACTCTGACCTATACTTTAACATCTCGTAACATCCGGGAAAGAAATTGATAGAAAATTTCCCAACTGAGGAAAGTTTATGATGGAGGACGACTAAGATAAAGCGTTTGAAAAATACGTTTTCTGTTTTTGTGCTTAAGTGAAAATATGGGCTTCTTAAATTTTTAAAAATTTCGCGATATAAACACAGTTTAGAATATGTAATTTTTAAAAATTTCGCGATATAAACATAGTTTAGAATTCGCGATATAAACATAGTTTAGATATAAACATAGTTTAGAATATAAACATGAGAAAGACAAAAGCAATTGTTATCGCAAAATGTTGTTGCACTCTGACCTATACTTTAACATCTCGTAACATCCGGGAAAGAAGTTGATAGAAAATTTCCCAACTGAGGCAAGTTTATGATGGAGGACGACTAAGATAATGCGTTTGAAAAATACGTTTTCTGTTTTTGTGCTTAAGTGAAAATATGGGCTTCTTAAATTTTTAAAAATTTCCCGATATAAACATAGTTTAGAATATGTAATTTTTAAAAATTTCGCGATATAAACATAGTTTAGAATTCGCGATATAAACATAGTTTAGATATAAACATAGTTTAGAATATAAACATGAAAAAATTTCGCGATATAAACATAGTTTAGAATTCGCGATATAAACATGGTTTAGATATAAACATAGTTTAGAATATAAACATGAAAATTAACTAAAAGGTAACCCTAAAGATGCGTAAAGCTTCATGAAATTTTATTAAACCCAAAATAAATGAAAAAAAAAACTGAAAGGTTTAAGATTTTAAAGGTCACTCAAAAGAGTTTGTTAAGGTTTGCTACGTTCTCGTTGAGCTCACAGTCTTCCCGTCTCTTGTTACACTCACTCCTACTGCAGAGTCATTAAAATTGTTTTGTTGCGGGAAACATGAAAATTAAGCAATGCCTTGCTGGAACTCTAGCCTGGATACGGGTCGAGTGTGCTAACCGTCTCATCACAAACGGATGCCGAAATGAGAGAGAAAATACCTTATACTACTAACGCACATTTTGGGGAGGAAGGCCTTTTTAACTTTAATTAGTAAGCATAATTTTCTTCGCACATACGCCATATATGACTTTACAGTAAAATTACAAATGTTTTAAAAGGAGCATAGCAATACACGTTTAGAATACAATGCAGGGTTAAGTGTTGGCACATATTTTTTTGTTTTCGTCAGTCTTTTCTCGCTTCATCACATCAAAGTTCAGTTTTCTTATCAACATGGCTTTACAAAATTTTTACAAATTTTTGGACATATGATCATATTCGCAATGACGTTATTGCACATCAACTTGTGAGGTATTATAAATATTCATTTATAATATTATTATAAATAATTATTATAATTAATAATATTCATTTATAGTTGATATATTATAATATTATATATATATATATATATATATATATATATTTATTTTCTAAACAGTATTGATTAATTGATTATATTATCTCCTAATTTAATTAAAAGTAGAATTATTTTAAAAGTGTGCATCCATACTGGTAAGTTTATTTTGAAAGATGTTTTGAAGTAATTTGAAAGCAAAATGTTAATAATGTTTAACGGGGACTGGAGTTTAAACTCATCACGAAGAAATAATATTACAATTGTAAAAGTAAAAATTAAAACATGTAATTATTGTCATTGATCGGAAATTAGTTGACTTTTCAAGGGGAACAAACCAACTCCCGTTCAATGATCATAATTGATAAAAATACGTAAATATGAAAGTGTTTCGTCTTTACTCAGTTTAAGTTAAAGCCAAACCGGCAATTCTAGTCAGGCCAAATATTTCCGTGAATAGTTATTACTCAAAGAACTGATTCTCATGAAGCATTTTAGTCAATTCAATTTGGAGTAAAAATCAATTACTGTAGAGAAATCTTGTAAAACTCGAGTAATTGTCCCCGACACTATCATCTTTATGTATTTGAGTACTATATTATTTGTAGAAATTAAACATTGGAAATTGTCATTATGAAATCGAAATCAAAGTAAAGTTGAATAAACATAGAAGATTATGAAAAAGATAAATAATGCAAACTTTGCAAAAACAAATCAAAGAGAACATAAAAATAATATAAAATAAATAAAAAATAGAAAAAATATAAATAAGATCATGAAGTGCATGAAGATATAAAGGCCAGAAAGTTATTAAGTAACTTACATTCTTTCTAGTGGGGGAGTTGGCAGTGTGTTTGTTCTCTTCGTGTCTGACTCGGAAGTGTAGGGTGTCCGAAAATTCTTAGCGGCAGTAGGGGCTTTGAATTATAGTCGGTAAGACTTGGTGAAGAATTTATGGTAGTGGGTGGGACTCGGAATTCTTGAGGGATGTATTTTGTGGAGTTCTTATCTGAGAGAGACCGTCTGTTAAGATTTTTTTTAAAAATACTAGTGAATGGAAATTAATTAATTTCTGGCTAATTGTCGTGTCGCATGATTAAGAATTTAAGAAGGAAAAAGGCATTTTCGCTATCCCAAGAGCTAGTAGACAGTCTAAAGGCAGGAAATAGGCCCATTTTTTTTAGTAACAGTATATAACAGTATATGTCTGAAGACAATTAGCTTTTTACAATATATACAAATGAGTAATTACACTATATACAAATCTTTCAAACTGACAGTCATCCAACTTATACCGCCTTCTCAGGTTTAGGAATAAATGATCATATCCCTATCAGTTAAATGATTTAGAGTGAGTATTTAACGCCTGCTCTTTTAAGGCAATGGTTGATAAATTGAAAGGGAATTAGATTATTTTTGAGAATTTTGATAAGGATCAAAATTTCGCGTTGTAAATCTATTGCATCTGTGCATATAGTTTTAATTCGTTGTATTTGATTAATTATAGTATTGTTAATTACTTTACTTCCCGGCAGTTGACACAATACCAATGATTGCATTTAAATATCAAAGGACTTTAAGCAACTTGCTTACTAACCACCATAAAATAGATGAAACTGCAGAATGACATTGTAAGACACCAATTTACAGCAATTACGTAGATTCTCATCACCAGCACATAATTACTGGCAACCTGAATATCATACAAAACCATCAACTAAAAACACTAATGAGTTATGGTACAAAATTTAGACCAGTCAGAAACATGACTACAAATTACTGTTACAAGACTTTCGAAAACAACATCAACGAATTTATAGTTAAAGCAAGCTATCAACTGAATTTACCCATAGATACCTTCTTAAAATGGAAAGCTAAAATTCTTCAACGCATATCCACAGAAATCAGTCACCTCAAATTTAAAAGTACACTGAACTGGTCGCAACTTACATCTGATATTAAGTAAATTAAAACAGCTTTTTACTATTACAAAAATAGATAAAGCAACTAATAACTTTAGCATTATATGAAAACAATTCTACACTGAGATTATTCATAAAGAACTTCTCAACGCAACTACTTATCAATCAGCCAACCTTACAGAAACATCTATAATAAACAGGATTAAAACTTTTCATAAGAAACTCAATATTACTTTCAATGCAAACTATAACAGATTTTCTAATCTTTATTATGCGATTCCCAAATTCCATAAAACACCATTAAAATTTAGATTTATAGCTAATGGAACTAATAATTACAAGAAAAATATAGACTATTATTTTTCAATTCAACTTAATAAAATCTGTAAATTTATTTTCAATGATTGTAACACTAATCATAACTATTGCTGGATCATTCATAATAACACTCCTGTCATTAATACCATTCATACCATTAACATCCAAAACATTAACTGCTATGATTTTGAAAACTTATATACCTCACTTCCTCTAGAAGAAATCTATACCAGTCTACTTGATCTACCAAAACTTTTCCCTAATATACTCAATATCATGACTCTTGACAAATGGAAAAACCTACCTAAAATGCACACTTTTTCATAACTACATCAAGTTTCAAAATCAAACTTTTTAAACAAGTCAGAGGATTGCCAATGGGCTTACATTCCAGCACCTCGATCTGTAATATCTTTTTATTTGTCAAAGAATTTAACTTCCAAAAAAATCTACAAACCACAAGAGTTAAATTACTACAAACACACCTACAGATTTATTGATGACCTTATTACAATTAATAATTTTGGTAAAATTGAAAACTCCGACATTTATCCGAATTGTCTTAAACTTAATAAAACTAATAATTCACAAAATAGCATAGACTTTCTAGATCTTCAAATCATTAACTACAAAAAAATTTTACTTTTTGACAAAACAAGAAACTTCAATTTCAATACTAACAAATTAATAAATTGGAACTCCAACATATCCAAAAAAGTAATTAACAATACTATAATTAATCAAATACAACGAATTAAAACTATATGCACAGATACAATAGATTTACAACGCGAAATTTTGATCCTTATCAAAATTCTCAAAAATAATCTAATTCCCTTTCAATTTATCAACCATTGCCTTAAAAGAGCAGGCGTTAAATACTCACTCTAAATCATTTAACTGATAGGGATATGATAATTTATTCCTAAACCTGAGAAGGCGGTATAAGTTGGATGACTGTCAGTTGAAGATTTGTATATAGTGTAATTACTCAATTGTATATATTGTAAAAAGCTAATTGTCTTCAGACTATACTGTTACTATACTGTTACTAAAAAAATGGGCCTATTTCCTGCCTTTAGACTGTCTACTAGCTCTTAGACAGCGAAAATGCCTTTTTCCTTTCTTAAATTCTTAATCATTGCGACACGACAATTAGCCAGAAATAATTAATTTCCATTCACTAGTATTTTTAAAAAAATCTTAACAGACGGTCTCTCTCAGATAAGAACTCCACAAAATACATCCCTCAAGAATTCCGAGTCCCCCACCCACTACCATAAATTTCTTCACCCAAGTCTTACCGACTGATATAATTCAAAGCCCCTACTGCCGCTA